AGTATTTTGTGTGTGTATATATATATATATATATATATATATATAAAGTTACTGGAGTTTATAAAAAATGTAATGCAGTACAAAAGATCTTTAGTAAATATAAACCTTAACAACATGATGGAGCATTTTGTTAATGTTAATTGTATTCTTCTTTAGTGAGAGTGCTTTATGCTATGTCTAAGCAGATTGGATGACAAAACTGAGATGTACAAAACCTCCAGGATTTTCAGTTAAATATACTATCACGCTGCGCCAGTAGCGGTTTTGAAAGCCTTTTTTGTACTAATGCAGGGTTTCCCAAATAAGGATTGACAAGTTGATGGGAAACTAATAATGAAATCAAATGTAAAATTAACCTTTGTGCTGTGCTGAAAATCCTTTTTCCCAATTTGTTGTTCCCAGTCAAAAATGACCGGCCTTTTAAAAATTGCTTGGAAATAATGTTTTTGTCACCTTGGATTTGAATCCAAGCAAATTATATATATTTGTTTACATTAACATAAGCATTTTTGGGGAAAAGAAGATCCTCTCTGTGTCAGAATGACCACACAACAATTAATCAAAATAAAACTGAAATCTTTTTTTAATAATTACGATTAATAATAATAATATGACTATTATTAATGTGTCGTAAAAAAATTGATTTGTTAACAATATCTCAATATTGAAATAGTTTGCAAGTAAGGGGATTATATGTAAAAAGATAAAAGAAAGTTTGGGAAACCCCTGTTGTAATGCATAGTGTATCATTGTTTATTATAGTACTGTATAAGTTTGTTTCTTTTTTGTATGTGTGGCTCAGCTGCAAACCTTCAAAACCGCAGCTCCCTGCAAGACAGTGGAGGATCTGACCTCAGGGGCAGCCATGTCTCAGGCCCTGCATCAGATGTGAGTGTGTTTACGTTTACTTGGCATTTATTCACTGGCAGATGCTTTTATCCAAAGTAACTCATGTTGCTTTCATTGTATTTATCTGATTACCCATGACTTTGACGTTGCTAGCGCCATGTACTACCAGTTGTGCTGCAGTGTTTCTTTGACTCGTTCATTCATACTTGACTGTGTTTTACATTTCTCACTCGCCCTTATTTTTCATTTCCCTATTTGCTGTACTAAATCAGATTAGTTTTTTCCAGGTCAGCATTACAGATTTATATCTCAGCTTGTCAGTGTGTGAATATTTTATGACTTGCATTGAGTTGTGGGTAGTCCGCAGAGTCATATTACCTGAAACTGGTTTTTGATGTATATATTTTTTGCTGAATAAACATTCAAGTGTCGTGAAATTTAGAATATATTATTATCAGAGAGTCTGGAGAGCCCGAGAGTGTGATGTAATTCTGATCACTTTAAAGCAGGAGGGGATTGGAACAAAGCATCTGAAAATATCTGAATTAGATAAGACTGAACTGCACTGATCAATATATTTCAATTACAGAGATCCTTCATGGTTCAGTGAGAGCTGGCTGGCCCGTATTAAAGAGGATGTTGGAAATAATGTGAGACTCAAGGTAGATTTATTTTTCTTTTAGGCCTTGGTGCTTAAATCTAACTTGGAGAACATGCCAAATATAATGTGTTAGTCAAAGCTAAAGTTTCTTTGATTCTCTACATTTTTACAGATGAACAACCTCAAAAAGATCCTGCAGATGATGGTTGATTATTATAATGAGGTAAATGACACGATAAGGTTTGGTTTGTTAAAATGCTTGCCTTCATTTGAACTGTTTCAGATGTCATCAGTCAGACTTTAACTCTCAGAATTTACCTTTCTTCTGACACAAAGCATTCTGAATTTACACACTACAGTCAAATGAATTTGTAGTTGTTGGGTGGTTTAATGATATAACTGTGTTAATGCCTGCAATTTTTCTCAAATTGTATTTTTTTTTTTTTT